TTTAGAATTCAAATTAATTTAAGTTTGACTTAAATTCGAATTTGAATTTGAATTAAAATTGGACTACAGGATAAAAGATTATTTCTCTTCCTTCCCTATCTGCTAGTTGGCGCCACACACAGAGTGAAACCCTAAGGGTGTGGCCGGCCACCTTATGGATAAGGGGAAGGGATTTTTTGTTCCAAAATTCAAAATTGGAGATAGGGATTTGATTCTGTTTAGAAGTTTGACTTCTACTCTTTAAATATGAGAATGATAGAAAATTATAGACACAATTTTTGAAACATATTTTTCAGCCCTAAGAGTTAGTGTGGCCGAAAATTCATAGAGCAAAAATGAGAAGAAAATTTTTTCTCCAAAAATTCCACATCGTGCATGCGTTGGTGTTTATGGAAATTCGAGTGTTTAAGAAACTTGTTTTTGTCTCACGTGTGCCCACACACACGTCTACGTGGAATCAAGGAATTGACGTGGAAGACTTTAGTATTCTAAACACGAACTTGGAATAAGGACTGTTCGTGGTCAAAGAATTCAAGTTACCATCCGAGTCGGCTTCTAGGTATTTTTTCGGATTGAATTCTTGATGTAAATTAATGCGATTAATTTATTCGTGCATAAATTAATATAATCTATAGAGTATCTCAAAAGTTTTATGAAAATTTTTGTTATACACGATCCGCCTTTCCCCACGCTTCCGCACTCGAATTCGATTCGGGAACCAACAGTTAAGTATTTGGTAAACTATAATTATAGTAGCTATGCTCGTTTCAAAATCAGAGCAATAGCCTTTAATAAATTATGAGGCTGAATTGCTGTAGATAATTAAAAATTACGATTATATTATATTATATTATATTATTACAATATAGTATGGATGGTGGATTTGGTCGTTAATTATATGGTTCCATGGATCGGTTATATTTATTCATTGATTCAATTATTTGTAATTTTATTCGGGATTAGAATTATTGTAATTCTAGGTTTTGGGTAGAATTAGAGTTTTTTTATTTTGAATCAAAAAGGAGGCCTTGAAGATCAAGTTTGAAGCCTTCAAAGAAACCCAGAAAACTGTCTACAAAATTTTCAGAAATCGGCCAAAGCGCGCGCCCCTGCGCGCCCCAGCGCGCGGACAGTCCGCGCGCCCGCGCGCAG